AGCTGGGCAGTTGTGAGTCTCACTTACCATGTCCATCTGCTCACACATCAGCTCTCTGCATCTCAGTTCAGACCCCTATGCTGATGGTGGGACTTGAAGCTAATTTACACAAGGGCCTGGGGTAGAGGGCAACCTTGACACAGGAGATAGGAACTCTGCTTAAAATCAGGCAAGCATTAGAGTACATGGTATGGGTCCTGCCTGCCTCTGCCTCTGTCCCATAGGATTGTGGGTGGTTTCAGCTCCTGGAATGAAGCTGCAGGGCTTGTGGGCAGAATGCCCTTGACCCAGAGTTGAGTAGCTTCCTTTCTTTAGGCAGTTGAGCCCTACATAGCTGTGGTTGGTGCTCATGAGAGCTAGAGCCTATGGCAGGCCGCCATCTCCTTCCCCTCCAGGCAAGATGAGGAGGAGCGCTCTGAGGTGCTGTCCTCTCTACATGGCATGGCCGCTGTACACATGACCCCTCAGCTGCAATGGTTACCTACACAAGACTGCACAAAATTAACCATGGAGGACCAGGTGTGGTAGACACACCTTTAATCCCAGCATTCAGGAGGCAGAGCTTTGAGTTCAAGGCCAGTCTGGCCTACATAGTGGGTTCCAGGACATTCATAGCTACACAGAGTAAACCCCTTACCTCTCTCTCTCTCTCTCACCCCCACACACTCATACACACACACTGGTAGGGTCCTCATGCTCCAGTGTATAACACAATCCTCGTGTGCATATGGGCAGCACTGTGGGGACTTAGTGAGTAAATAAACAAGTGAAAAGGGGCACTTGAAGTTGTCATAGAAACTTGAGTGTGATAGTAGGGTCCTGAGGAGAGTTGGAGGGGGACGGTTAAGGGTGGATATGACCAAGATAGATTATGCTGTGTACACATAGGAAATGTCAAAGAATATGTAAAAATAAAATACTTCAGAAGAACATGAGAAACAGGGGAATCAGGCCTGCCTTCTAGAATGAAGTTCAGATTTGGTAGATGGGAGCCTAAAGAGAAAATTGCTTTATTGCAGTGTAATGATCACCGTGCGAGAGAGAACCGATTCCTGAATTTTCTTGCTGTTGTTTTCTGTCTGGCAGCCGGAGAACACTCATCTCAAGGAGCTGAGTTTGAGGCTCGCCTGGGCTACCCAAGACCCGTCTCCAGCAACAAGTTGCATTAATTAGTATATATGATTGAACAGCTAGTGAAAGTTTTAGAGGGCATCCACTCCCTCCAAAAGCCACCGCTCACTCATGTGGTGGCCCTAAGTGGTTCCTACCACATCCCTTCCTCAATCCGAGAGATGTTGAACAGGCCCCCCACAGCAGTGAATGCTGTGCTTTAAAGTCTGGTCTTCACCTCAGTTATTAGCGAGGGTCCACGTGAACCCTCTCCTTTTCTCTCCTCTCTGGGTGCCCCTTGTCACCCCCACCTCCTGTAGCACGCTACTTCATCCTGTTTGTGAGCATAGACGCCAAGAGCAGTAATTATGGATTTTCCTCTAAGGAGTCAGAGCAAAAGTCACAGGATAGCCAGCTGAATTCGTAGCTTGGGTAGCAAGGAAGAGTGAAAAGTGCTTTAAAGGCTAGCTTACATTGTAGCCAGTGCAGAGAAGGGTGGGCAGGGGAGCAGTGATCTGGATGTTGGGGCTCAGGGAAGACAGCATAGCGGCAAATAGGGGAATAGCTTCCTGGGTATGAGCAAGTGAAACCTACAAGGAGAGATGGCTGTGCATATTTAGATCTTCTACATTGTCTCAACCCAAACCTGGAAGCGGGCTTAAGGGAGACTGCCTGTCGGGTGACTAAAGAACAAGTGGGTTCACAGTATGGCTTCAGGTCAGCCCCCTTGGGGGGAAACCCCCCCCCCCCAATCATAGGCTTCATAAGGCTTCACAGTAAAAACTGGGACCAGTTGTCCTCAAGTTAGTGCGTGGGCCCCATGGGTATCTGTGCCCTAGCTTTGTTACAGCCTTCTGTGCTGTTGTTCCTAGCTGTGGCTTCCCCCTCGTGGTCTAGGCTATTGTTGGGGTGCTGGCTCTCACACACTACCCCAGAGGTCCCTTTAACTCTGCAACTCAATCTTCCTTGGCTAGACCTCAGTGCAGCATCTTACAAAAGACAGTGAGAACATCATCTTTGAGCTGAATGGCGGCATGCACAGGTAAAATAAAACCACAAATGATTTGGGAGAAGAGAAAAATCACCACAACCAAGAAAAGCCGCAGAAGCCTCATCCTGGGATGTTTGTTCCTGAGGCATTCCTGAGTTCTTGAGGTGTTCAGGCCCTGCCTGAGGCCCAGCTGTGGGGAAAAGGTTGACAGAGTTCCTTTCTCATGAAACTTTGAGTCTAGCAGGAGCTAAGACAGATGACAGACAGCCATCAGTTGACAGCGTGCCATCTATACGTGAGTCTTCAGATGTAGCTTTGCATAATTAATGCCAGGAGCTGCCAGTGCCAAACACTGTCATGTGAAGCCCACAAATGCATTGACAGCCAGCCTTGCTCATCTTTGATGTAAACTCCGTTCATGAAATGTCCCTCGCTAGGCATAATGGCTCACACCTTTAATCCCAGCACTCCGGAGGCAGAAACAAAAGCATTACTGTGATGTAGAGGTCAGCCTGGATTGCATAGTTCTAGGCCAGTCTGGGTTGCAGCGTGAGACCCTGTCTCAAACCAAACGAACAGAACCACCTTTGAATGCCTGTGCCACAGCCGAGAGAGGAGGAGGAGGAGGAGGAGGAGGAGGAGGGTGGGAGGAAAAGCGAAGGTTCCCCAGAATCCACCTGCATCTCACTAGCCAGCACTGTGAAGGGCTGCACGCACAGCTAGCCCTGAATCTGATCTTGCTGGGCTTGGTGAGGGACTGTTTGGGGGAACCTTTCTTGTTAAGCAGTGTGTGAGGAGTAATTCTGTGGGGGTTTTTTGTTGTTGTTTTTGGTTTTTTGTTTGTTTGTTTGTTTGTTTGTTTGTTTTTGAGGCATCTGGAGACCAAGCTGGGGAATTTGGGGAAGCCCAGGGACCTGGACTTTCCTTCTTATAGAAACTTCAGGGAATGGGGTCACATTTAGTGTGCTTGCATAATTGGGGGTGATTCTAAATCCAACCTGTCACCATTGTCACCACCTTGAAACTCTGCTGCCATTGCTATGCAACGCTCTCAAGCTGTTTGGGGTGAAGAACCAGTTTTTCACTTAATGACAGTAAAATGTTATTCAAGCTGGGTGTCTTAACGAAGGTTTCTATCACTGTTATGAAACACCTTGTCTAAGGTAACTTGAGGAGGAAAGGGTTTGTTTTCAGTTTACATTTCTAGGTGACAGTCCCTCACTGGGGGAAGTCAGGACAGGAACTCAAAACAGGGCAGGAGCCTGGAGGCAGTAGCTACTGCAGAGGCCATGGAGGGGTGCTGCCTACTGACTTGCTCATCATGGCTTGCTCAGCCTTCTTTCTTGTAAAACCTGGGACCACCTGTCCTGAGGTGGCACCACCCAAAGTAGCCTAATCACATCAGTCACTAATTAAGGAAATGCCCTGCAGGCTTGCCTATAGCCCAGTCTTATGGAGGCATTCGTTTTCAGTTGCAGTTTCCTTCTCTCAGATGACTAGAGCTTGTGTCAAGCTGATTAAAAAAAAAAAAAAAAAAGGTAGCCAGCACATTGTACCCATATACCTGTAACCCCAACACTTGAGAGGCTGAGGCAGGATTATTAATTCTTCCTTAGCCAAGGCTATAGAGACAGCAAGACCCTGTGTCAAAGAAGGGGGGGGCTTGGGAACTGGAGAGGTGGCTTAGTGGGTAAAGCTCTCATCACACAGACATGGGGACTAGAATTTGAATTATCAGAACTCTATAAAAACAGGTTGGACATGGTGACCAGTAGGGAAGAGAGAGACTGGGAATTCCTAGAGCCAGCTGGCTAGCCAGATGAGCCAAAATAGTGAACTCTGGGTTCAACCAGAGACCCTGCCTCAATATTTAATAAGATGGAGCTCAGTCAAGGAAGATGCCCAATGCCAACCTCAGGAAACCACAGGCACATGTGTGCATCCATCCACATGCAGATGCAAACATTCAGATACACATAATATAAGCAAAAGAGTTATCTGTAACTCGAGGGCTGGAAAAATGGCTCAGCTGTTGAGAGTGTCCAGCACTCACATGGTGGCTCATAATCCTCCGAAACTCCAGTCAGTTCCAGAGGATCTGATGCCCTTTTCTGGCCTCCAGTCATTGTATATGTGTGATGCCCAGGCAAAAAAACCCATACAAATAAAATTAAAACAAATAAAAGCTTTTAAAAAAGAAATCTTTAAAAATTATCTTAAAGGTTATGTATGCCCCAGATGTCTATTATTAGATTTAAGGGTCATAAAGCTGCTCCATCTGCTTAAAAACTTTTATAAGCTAACCTAATTCTTGACCTGGAGTTTGCCTATAGCAAAGCATAAAAATTAAAAAAGAAAAAAGAAAACCCAGAGCCTTTGCTACCAGTCTCAAGGACTGTGCTTTGGGCTACACTGGCCCTGAGGCCTGGAGTCAAAGGCCATTGGGGAACTGCTGTCCTTCCTAGCTCCATGTTAGGGCAGTTATAAAAGAGAATGAGGAAGCTCCCATAGGAAGAGAGCAGCCTAGCTGTATTCCTGCGTCCCTCACACCTCTTGCTTAGCTCATCGCTTTTTGAGTCCATTCCCTGCCGGAGTTCCATGCACAGGTGAAGATTTTATTCTGTACCTGCAGCTGGGGAAGTGAAAGGTCACAGCTAATTGGAATCCATCTTCAGTTCCCTTCTTGAATGCAGCTTTGGGTCTGCATTGGTTTGCTCCGAAAGCAGAGGACCAGTGAGGGGGCCGTCATCTCTGGCTGACATGACATTTGGGTCTGCATTGGTTTGCTCCGAAAGCAGAGGACCAGTGAGGGGGCCATCATCTCTGGCTGACATGACATGGCCTGGCCTGGCCTGGCCTGGCCCGGGAAGGTAAGGTCACTGTGGACTCTGTGTTGCAGTTCTCCAAGGAGAGGCACATCATGGACCGGACCCCTGAGAGGCTGAAAAAGGAACTGGAGGAGGAGCTGCTGCTGAGCAGCGAAGACCTACGTAGCCATGCCTGGTACCACGGCCGGATTCCCCGACAGGTATGTGTTCTGCTCCCCCAAGGCAGCGTCATACTGATGGCGCCATTGGGTCCAGCTCACAGATTGCAAAACTCTAGTGCTATAAAGTGACTTGACTTAGATCTGTCTCTAAAGAGACCTTGGGAAGAGCCAACAGTGTGACTCCAAATACATATATGTGGACAGGAGGCTGCAGTGGCAGTGCCAGCTGCCGGAAGTATGTGTATGGATAGGGTTCAGATAACTAAGATCTTGGCCAGTGGCTAGAGCTTCCTACCACTTGGAGCCTTTTTTGAAGGCAGTGACTTATCTCAGATGACCAGGTGGGTGGCACATACTGACAAAGCCACCCCTGCTCCAATTGGGCCAGCAAGTGTCTGTCTCTGTTTTCTCTCTACTGGTCATCCTATGACCCAAGATGGGGAGGAACAGGGATTATTCCAGGGACCACAGCTTCATGGACCAGGGTATCTTTCATGTGGTTGTCATCAACGTTTTTATATAATAGTATAAGAATTGAAAAAAAAGTATAGGTAGTCTGCAGAATTGAAGTGTACAGTTACCCATAGATTGTTATTATAAACATAATCTGGCCAGTCATTAACCAAGGACAGCAGAACAGGCAATGGATGCCCAAGTCTAAGGAGGATGGTAGAACCCAAGTGCTGGGATTAAAGTTGTGTACCACTGCTGCCCAGCTTAGCCCCAAATTTCTTAACACTGTCAAAGAAATAATTCTTATTCTGATCTTGATTTTGTGTGTGTGTGTGTGTGTGTGTGAGTGTGTGTGTGGGTGTGTGTGTGTGTGTGTGTGTGTGAGTGTGTGTGTGGGTGTGTGTGTGTAATCTTAAAATTGATTATGGAGGGATGTGTGTGTGTGTGTGTGTGTGTGTGTGTGTGTGTGTGTGTAATCTTAAAATTGATTATAGAGGGAGCTGGAGAGATGGCTCAGCAGTTAAGAGCACTGACTGCTCTTCCAGAGGACCTGGGTTCAAACCCCAGCATCCACATGCCAGTTCACAGCTATTTATGACTCCAGTTCCAGGGGACCTCACACCCATGACAAAATATCAATGCACATAAAGTAAAAATAAATAAAAATTTAACACATTGATTGTAGAAAATATAGATAAGAGAAAAGAAAATTAAACTTTTATCCCTAATTGTCTCCCCTGGAGATAGTCTTTGTGAATATTTTGGTGTGTATCTCTCCAGACCTCCTCAATCAAGTAGGAGATCTGACTGCTTCCTGTGGCCCGCTTTCTTCACTTAATGATGTGCCCTGGGAATTGGCTCTGGCTGTAAAATACCCTCCTGCACCAGCGCACACTGAGTATATGTCCATCATACACATGCATCACAATTTATTGCGTACTTAGAGTGTTTCTAGCAGTCTGACCAGCATCCTGTAAGTAACTACCATGTTCAGACCTATAATTCTTTCTACTGCCTCGATTCTGGGAAATGGAATTTCAGCGCGAAGATGTATTTTAAGGCAAAGATGCAATTTTAAAGTAACCATGGTAGCATACTATTCTGAGCTAGCAGAAGTATATCATCACTTGGATGCTAGAATATCCTAGAAAAAACCTGCCATCACCGCTGTCTTTCTTAGTGTTCTAAGAGGATGAACTCTCAGTAAGACATCATCCTGGCCTAGGTAATGGAAACCCCATGGCAATGATAACAGTGTGGCAGTATTCTAACCCTTTGAAACTTTCAGCCCATCTATAAGCAATAACATTGTCTACATCTTATAGATGATGTAACTAAGCCACAAAGAGCTTATATAATTTGTCTAGTCACATATCTGGGGCAGGATGCAAACCTAGCTAAAATGACTGACACAGTATAGGTTTTTGCTGTAAACATCACCATCGTAGTGTTTTCCTACTTGGGGGTATCCATTGTGTGACACGCCATTGTATATGCAAATGCATTATCTTTCCAATAACCTTTTGAGTTGAGGGAACCTTAAGTGACTTTTTTTCTAGCCTCCTAGCATGTCCAGAGCTCGCCATGCCATCACTGGTCTCATCCTGCTTCGTAGATGGGAATCTTAGGAAGATGTCTAGGCAGCAAAACAGCTCCTGCTCCTCCTCCCTTCACTAGTTAGAAGGAAAGTCAGACCCATAGGGAATACAGTCTCATTTCTTGCTGTTTTACATTCTTCCAGTCTGTGTTAATGTCATGTTCTTGTGACCACCCTCATTTGAAAGATCACCCTCCCAAGACCCTGTCTCCAGTCCAAAGTTTTCTTTTCCTTGACAACATCTGACACATACCAGTGGCTGTCTGTCCTAAGATGAGAGTGGCTACATTAAACATAGAAAGCCCCTGAAGAAGTACTTAGTCACTGCTGTGTCCCCTGAGCCTGCAGTGGTGCTGAGCATGCACAGGATGGTCAACAAAGTTTGGTGTTTTGTTTTTGAGAGATCCCAGGCTGGCCTCAAACTGACAGCCTTGCTTTAGTCTCCTGAGCACTGGGATTACATTGTGGCCATATCCAGCTAGTAAATAGTTCTTGAGTGTGACCTTTAACAAACTAAAGATCTGATGAAGGAAGGAGTGCTAGGAGATGGCTCAGTTGGTAAAATGGTCATCTTGTAAGCATAAGGATCAATCCCCAGAACACACTTAAGAAAAGTTAAAGAGAGAGGTGCAGAGAGAGAGAGAGAGAGAGAGAGAGAGGGAGAGGGAGAGAGAGAAAGAGAGGGAGGGAGAGAGAGAGAGAGGGAAGGAGGGAGGGAAAGAGGGAGAGAGGGAGAGAGAGAGAGAGAGAGAGAGAGAGAGAGAGAGAGAGGGAGGGAGAGGGAGAGAGAGAAAGAGAGGGAGGGAGAGAGAGAGAGGGAAGGAGGGAGGGAAAGAGGGAGAAAGGGAGAGAGAGGTAGGGAAGGAGGGGAGAGAAATGGGGGGAGAAGTAAAAAGGAAAGCCAGGTGTAGTAACAAATGCAATAGGGAGGCAGATAGAGACAGATTCCTGGCTTGCTGGCCAGCTAGCCTCGTCTACTTGGAAAGTTCCAGGCCAATGGGAGGCCCTGTCTCAAAAAAAAAAAAAATGGGTTGTACCTAAGGGCTGACACCCTAAGTTATCCTCTGGTCTCTGCATGGATGCACACACAGAAAGGAGAGTCACAGCAGCAGTGACTTCTGCTAAGCTCTTGAGAGGATAAGTTTGGCTCTCTAGTTCCTCATTCACCATTCCGTCTACAGGTATCTGAAAACCTTGTACAGCGAGATGGTGACTTCCTGGTTCGAGACTCCCTGTCTAGCCCAGGAAACTTTGTTCTGACCTGTCAGTGGAAGAACCTCGCTCAGCACTTTAAGATCAACCGGACTGTTCTGCGGCTCAGTGAGGCCTACAGCCGAGTACAGTACCAATTTGAGATGGAGAGCTTTGACTCCATCCCCGGGTTGGTGCGCTGCTACGTGGGCAACCGGCGGCCTATCTCCCAGCAGAGCGGTGCCATCATATTCCAGCCCATCAACAGGACGGTGCCCCTCTGGTGTCTGGAGGAGCGTTACGGCACTTCACCAGGCTTCGGCCGGGAAGGCAGCTTTACTGATGGAAGGCCTGATATGGCTAAGAGGTTGAGCCTCACCACGGGTAGCATCCAGGCTCGGGAACACAGCTTGCCCCGGGGAAACCTCCTCAGGTAGGTCCAAGGGGTGCTGGGGGCCTAGTTTAGGCCAAGGAGTGTAGAGAATATTGCTATACTCACTGTGAGTGGACAGCTGTTACCAGGCGTGCCTGATTAGCTCCCAGTTAAAGTGCACCAAAAGCAAATGGCAGAGCCGGGTGTGCAACGCACGCCTCAGTGCTTTGAGGCAAAGTGGGAGGATTGCCCCAAATTCGAGGTCTTCCTAGATTATACAATGGGAGCTGATAAGGCAAAGTGGGAGGATTGCCCCAAATTCGAGGTCTTCCTAGATTATACAGTGGGAGCCCACTTCAAAAAACAAAAGCAGCAACAAAAGGCACAGGGGCTGAGGAGGGGAGAGGCTGATCTGAAGGCAAGGGGATGTTTGGAGGACACTGCAAAGAAGAGGGGCCAGAGGAACCTGGAGAGTCGATTGGTCAGTCTAGAACAGAGGGTCTACGTAAGGGAGAGATGTGTAGGGGAAATCCTAGCTAATGGTGGAGGCCTTTGTGGTTACAAAATCGCGGTATGGTGAACAAACCCTAAAGCAGAACTGGGTAGCAGTGCGCATAGACTGAGGAGAGAGACTGAATGAATGAAGCAAGAACGTCAGGGTTTCGGGAGGGACCTAGGCTGAAAGCAAGAGAGAGAGCTAGAAGCTAGGCTTCTGGGGTCTTGGGAGTTGGAAGGACACTGAGAAGACCACCTAGGCAATACACCAGTGACATGGGGAGAGAGGCGTGCCTTGGAGGAAAAAGTCATTTGATCTGAGCAGCGACTGTGGACATGCTGTTGTCAGCATCCAGCAGGGGTCACTGTTGAGGTCTCGGACTAGGGACTGGTAGTGTGGGAAAGGATTGACTTGGAGAGAACAGATAGGATTCGAAGGACTGGAGGTGTAGAGGGGGCAAACTCTGTGCCCCTGAGAATGAAGAGAAACATTCGGAGAGTAGGGCAGGAAAGGGCTGAGAGGCGAGCTCCATATTTGTATAGATCTGGCTTCCAGAGCTGAGAATCCTTCATAGATCCACCTGTCAGAGCGGGTGTGGGGGAAAGCAGCTGAGATGTAGACTGGCCCCATATTATGCAGCAGCCCTGCCCCCACTCCTGGCTTCTGAGTGTCTAAGTGAACGTGTCCATTCTCCTCTCTGCTCTTCTGTCTGGGCCAGGAGAAAATATAAACTATAATTTCTGTACGGCAAACCGCCTCATGGAACACAGGACTATGTGAGTAACATAAATTACAGCTGTGCTCCTATTAGTCAGCATCTGACTCAGAACCTGTGGCTCCAGGCTGGCTCCATGTGGCTAGCTGTGCATCCCTGGGCAGGGACCTTAACTTCTCTGGGATGCCCTTTCTCCGTCTGGAAGCATGGAACGTGAAGGGTTAAATGGTGTAAGAAATGGAAAGTGTTTACTTACAGTAAGCACTATCGTTCCTGGTAGCTGTTATTATCTGCAAGGGAGGCAAAAGTCAGGCCTAGACGTGAGCAGGGAGGCAAGGATGATAGCAGAGATGCTGTTCTGATTGGTCTCTGGAATGTAGAGGCTCTGGTACAGCTCCCCACAGGCAGCAGCCCACACACTCCAGGCGGAGGAAGGGTGACCTCCACATGACCAGTGGCCTTAATGGGCTTGTCACCCTGCCCTGCTGCCCTTCAGTGGCTTCCCCATGTCAGCTTTGGCCCAATGCCACCTGCTCTGACACTGGGCATGTTTCTTGGCTGGCAGCCTCAGGCCCTGGGCAAAGGTGTGCACTCAGGCAGGTTACGTTCCACTCGTCCAGCTGCGGGGGGGGGGAATGGGGGGGGCTTTGATCTGGCCGGCTGACCGTTGATCATGGTGGACACGATTCAATTATCATTTCCTTTTGGAATTTGCCCCGTCTTGACTTACCTATCTTGGAAAGGTTCTCTTCCTGGCTGTAATGAAAACAAGCTCCAATTTGAGCGGAAAGGACAGAGGGAATGGGGGTAGGTAAAAGTGTTTCAAGTTCCCCTCTACCCTGTGTGGTTGTGCCATTTGGTGACCATGTCTGCCACTCTGCTTCTAACTCAGCACTTAGAGGTCATCTGTGGGTGTTCCAAGCACAGCCAGGAAGATCTCAGTGTGACAGCCACCCCCTGGGACCTGCCATGCTGTGGGAGGAGGGGGTGCTGATCCGTGCATAGGCGTGGAGTGGCCTCCAGCTTCCTCCCAGCTGACATTGATCCATCGTGGAAAAGTCATGTTAGTTAAATAAGTCATTCCCCCAGGGAATGGGAATCATTTTAAGATTTTTAAAAAGTACACATTCCCGGTCATCAGATTCCTCCTCACTGCCCCCAGAGGATCGTGACCCATTCATCCTGCTCTGTTCAACAGGATGGAAGGGTTGAGGAGGCCTCCTAGGACTTAGCTGCCTTGGCCCTGGGGACTCGCCACACCCCATCAGTTCCTCCTCCTCTGTGGTCATTCCTTTACTGTTAGGGTATGCGCTGCACTCATTCTGGAAGTTTTCCTAACTTTCCCTGACGTTGCCTAACGAAGGTTTTACTACTTAATGACATGTTTGTGCCTTGGCTTTGGCTTCAGGAATAAAGAGAAGAGTGGCAGCCAGCCCGCCTGCCTGGATCATGTGCCGGACAGGAGGGCCTTAGTCCTCAAAGCCCACCAGTCGGAGAGTCACCTGCCAATAGGTAGGTGTGAGGGAGTCTCAGAGAAGGGGGTGGTAGTGTGGCCCTGGTCGCCGTTGGGCTTTTCCTGCCTGAACAAGCCACTGGCTTTGAAGACTCCATGCCTGCAGCCTGGAAGGGGAGGTTTGCAGAGCTGTCTGGTTGTGGCACACTGGACTAGCTCAATTCTTTACCATTCAGGTGTTTAAGTCCCATAACCAGTCCCAGTGGGCAGTTATTTTGCAGTTGAGGAAACCTAGGAACTAACGTATTAAGTAAGAGGGTCACCTAGCATTTGTACCCAGGCTTTTTACACTTCAAATCTTTTAGATAAGTGGTGGGCATCATGAAAGAGTCTGCTCCTTAGTGCTCTGCACCCGCACTCCGTGTAGTGAGCAGTGGCCCAGTTGGTCCTGGGGCTGCTAACAGAGCAGTTGTCTATGGACACCTTGCTGCTTCTCTGGGCTGGCTACATGACCAGGGAGTGGTGGGGTGTGGGAAAGGCATAGGCAGTCAGAGTTAGTGGGATGGTTTTTCATTTCTTTTATATGTAACCTTCCATGGGAGCACAGTGATTTCCCCTAGTGCCCCTTTGTAAACTGTTTCTGTGTGTCTGTCTACCGCCCTTGCTCTCTGAATAAGATCCACCCTGACTTTGTGACTCAGGGCCGTTAACTCCTGTGGCTGGAGACTTCTGTTTCCTCAATGCAGAATTGTGTTATTCACTGCCCAGGACATGTTTCCCATTCTGACTGTCCCAACCTGCTATGACCATAAAATGGTGTTACAGCCCAGCCCCTGGGGTTTAGAATCTCTCCTAGAGTGAGGTGGAGCCAGTGGAGCCTTCAGTTCTAGGCTGCCACAGACCAGACCTGCTGTGAGAAAGTCACCGTGTTTTCTTTTGTGGCAGAGGGGAACCCAAGGGCACAGAGTGAGAGCTGGGAGCTGTCACTCCCATTTTGTTCTCTGTTCTCCGGACAGCTGAGGTCTCTCTGACCTTCTTTTCTCCTCCACAGGCTGCAAGCTGCCCCCTCAGTCTCCAGGTATGGACACAAGCCCTTGCCCCAGCTCTCCTGTGTTCAGGACTGGCAGCGAGCCCACTCTGAGTCCAGCACTGGTCCGGCGGTTCTCTTCAGACACTAGGGCAGGGGAGGCATTGCGGGGGTCAGACAGCCAGCTGTGCCCCAAGCCACCCCCAAAGCCCTGCAAAGTGCCCTTCCTCAAGGTTCCTCCATCTCCTTCTGCCTGGCTCAACTCAGAGGCCAACTACTGTGAACTGAACCCTGCTTTTGCTGTGAGCTATGACAGGGAAGCCAAGCTTCTCTCCTATGCCCACAGCAGCCGTGAGGAGCTGCTGACAGCCAAACACAATGGGGCATCAGGTGCCCGGAACTCTGGCGTCAACTACTTGATCCTCGATGGGGATGACCCAGCGAGACCTTGGGATCCGCTGGCAGCACAGCGGATAGATGAGGGTCAGGAGGACAAGACCACGTTTGTGCCGCCTATCATGGAAACCGTGTCGTCATTCAGACCCAATGACTTTGAGTCCAAGCTCCTTCCTCCAGAAAACAAGCCCCTGGAAACTGCCATGCTGAAGCATGCAAAAGAACTCTTCACCAACAATGATGCCAGGGTCATCGCACAGCACATGCTGAGCGTGGACTGCAAGGTTAGTGTTCTGTGGCTGGCCCCTTCCCACAGCTGAAGGCTTGGAAGGTGTGTGCCTGGCTCTACTCTGCCTTGCTGGGTGGATACTTTGTCGTTGGGAAAAGCCAGGTGATAACGTAGGTGTGGAGATTTACTTACAGGGTGGGAACCACCATCAGGACAACCTTTGCCCAGCAGGAAACTGGTAAACTTCACCTTGGATAGAGGCAGGCCAGGCCTGCCCCTGCACCCAGCCTGCTGGTGACAAGAGCTTCTGTGGCCCCTCCTCTTCCTACCTGGTGCTTAGTTAAGAATTCCCCTCAGGCCTGTTAGAATGGGAACAGCTGGGGCGAAGGAGTATAGCTAAAAGCCTGGTTTTGGGAGTTGCAGGGCCCTGGTTATTTTATTCTATTATGCATCGTACTTAACTCTGCTGTATTCATTTATTACTGACATGATCTCTAGGATAATCATCTTCAACTGGATCTTTGTGGTTTTTTTTTTTTTTTTTTAAGAATTGTTCAAGTTAGAAAATTTTTAAGATGAAGATTAGAAGAAAAGACAAAATCCTACAAAATCCAGCTTCCTGGGCCTAAGAGATGGCTCAGTAGGTAAATGTGTTGGCTGTCAAGATGCAACCTGAATACCCAGAATCCGCATGGTGGAAAGAGAGGACCAACTTCTGCAAGTTGACCTCCGATCTACACACCACACAC